GTTTATAGGGTTTATAGGGTTTATAGGGTTTATAGGGTTTATAGGCTTTAGGTGTTTAGGGGTTTAGGGCTTTAGGGTTTAGGGGTTTAGGAGTTTAGGGTTTAGGGGTATAGGGCTTACGGGTTTAGGGGTGTATTCTGGCCCCTCGAACGAGGCCGCATGTAGTGGCACTGCCAGCCACAAAACGAGATCACATCATGACCTAGGGTGAGCCTGTAGTTCCCCACGTAACTCACAGGCTCAAACACGCCATTGTGCGGAAAGTCGCCAGCAGACCATTTATCCACGAACCCTGCTTCGTACACCTGGATCTGGGGCTGCAGTACCGGCGGCCGTGGTGCTGCCATGGATGCTGTCGGGGTGTGGCAAGTGGCTCGTGATGTGCTCGGCTCGGCAACTCAAAAGGAAGCAGTGCGCGACACAACAAAAAAACACCTCAACCAGACTCTGCAAAGCACCTCCGTTCTCTCCCTTTCTCATGCATACCTTAACATGAATGCTTATATCCACATTTTTGGGGTAGCATGTGTATATATATATATAGATAACATAACTATTCATAGTTATACATACTTGTGTACACTGGCCTATGTGTGTTCTACATTTTGCTCATATGTGCGTGCGTGTGTGCTTGTAGAATCCTGCAAAGAAGCTTGACCCCTACGAGAAAACGTTAGTACTACATGCGAGAACCAAGCACATGAAACAGGATTTGCACTCAAAACCCAACTCTAGACCCTTAATCCAGAAGCCGAATACATCCCACTCCCCAAACCCAAAACCCCAAACATTAAAACCCCACCACATAGTACGTAGTGCCCCTTGTCGAAACACTTACAGTATACCCCCGCCAGCCCATAAGGAACCCTAAACCCGAAAGCCCTACAGTAACTCTGGAAGAACCCTAAACCCGTTTCGGACCTTTCAGGCCTTAAGGAACCCTAAATCCCCAAAGACAGGGACCCTTAAAAGAATATGGGTTTAGGGTTTAGGGTTTAATATGGGACCCTTAAACGGCACCCTAAACCCCTGTACTCTGCTCCCTTCTGGGTCTCCGGGCCTACGTGTCGCCGACTCCTCAAGGGCGCGAAGGCTTCAAGACTGTATTGTTGCTTTAGGGCCTAGGGTTTGGGTTTTGGGTTTAGGGTTTAGGGGTTAGGGTTTAGGGGTTCATGGGTATTTATGAGTAGGGTTATAAGTCCCCTAATGTGGGCAATAATTATGGTTACCCTACTTATAACCCCACTTATAACTACCCCATGAACCTGCAAGTAGCTAGGGTTTAGGGGTTTGGGCCTTGGGACTTAAGGCTCAGGGTTTAGAGTTTACATAGGGCTTTAGTGATTTGGGGTTTAAGTGCTGAGGGGTTTAAACCCACATTGAATTTGAAATTCTACCACAATCAGGTTCCATACGGATATGTTATGCTGTCGGAGGACTAGGGCTTTGGGGCCTCAATTATTGGAATTGGGTGTGGGAGTAGATGGGTAGCTCTCTAAACTAGGGTGCCTTTTAGGGTCCTTTTTCTAAGGGTGCCGTACTATATTGGGGACCTGAAAAGGGATCCTAATTTAGAGAAGTACCCATATTCTACACGAGTCATACAAGAAGTATCAGGGAATTGACTCCTACGAGATTCCGAACAGGCCGAATGAGGTGGTTGGGCGGCTGGGCTTAGAGTAGAAGTCTTGATCACTAGAATAGGCTTTTAAGATTTTTTTAGACTTATAACTATAACAAGGAACCCCACAACAAATAGTATTGACAATTTTTTAAGCACCACTAAACCCTAAATCCAAAACCCTAAACCCTGAACCCTAAATCCTATAGTAGAGCCAGAGTCTAGAGTTGGACTTGCCTTTTGGGGCATGCGGTCCCCGATACAGGACTGCTGCGGTACTCGCCTAGGAGAGGGGTTTAGGGTTTAGGGGGGTTCCTTTCGACCTGCGCTACACCAAACCCTATACACCCTAAACCCTACACCCCAACCCCTTACACCCTCAACCCAAAACTGCTAAACCCTAAACTCCAGGCCCTACAACACCTAAACTTTTACACCGTAGACCCAAGAACAGGCCTTCTCGACCTCCACTTTCCTCTCTAGCCTTTGCAGGATCTCTTTCATCAGGGTCTCGCCTGCCAGCTGAAGTTCAGGGCTTTGGGGTTTAGGGTTTAGGGTTTTGGTGTTGAGTCTAGCGTACCTAAACTCTGCATCCAAAACCCTAAACTCGCATGGATGGTCATAAACTCCTAAATCCCAAACCCCAAAGCATCAGTTTTCCAATAACAGAAGGGCCCCCCCCTGGCACAAGCGGCGATGACAGCTTGCCTGGATTTGGAATCGGCGCAAACACTGCTGCCAGCCTTGGCTGCCACAGGTTGTGCTCGGAGGCCTGATTACCGATCAATGTTTTTCCTTTGAGTTCCTTCTTATGGACTGGGATCCCCGGGTAACCTAGGAATAAAAAAGGGCTCCCTTTTTTTGTATTGGGTAAATACATATAAGGAACCTCGGACTACGAAAACAGAAAAAGGAGCCCACTGGGAGACCTAGATTATCATGTACCCCTAAACACTGTTCTTATGCTCCAGCCCCCTATATCCAGCAAGGCCGCCAATGCTCGTTGAGGACCTGCATCCGGGCCTGCTTCGATTCCAAGTCCTCCTCGGCGGCGGTTCGGGGTTTAGGGTTTAGGGCTTAGGGCTTACCTTAACCCCACAAAACCCTCCTTTCTAGGGCTCCCTATTGTGATGCCTTTATATAGAAGTCCTTGGAAAGGTAGGTTCTCTAGGGTTTAGGGTTAAGGGCTTACCTTCCCAGAAAACCTTCCTTATTATGACTTCTGTTTAGGGTTTGCCTTTTATATTAGGCTCCTTATTCTGATTTCTTTATATATACGTCTTTACATAGGTAGGTTCTTTAGGGTTTAAGGTTACCTTAAGAACCCAAAACCTACTTTTTTGTAGGGTCCCTATAAATCCCAAATTAAGGCTTACAATAAGAACCTACGAAAAAGTAGGTTCTTTAGGGTTCTTAGGGTTAAGTTTTGTTACTTTAAAGCTCCTTTTTGGCGAC